CTTTGGCGGTCGAACGACCCTTTCACAGGGGTCGCCTAAGACCATCCTGCATATCAGATATTTACATGACGGTTCATAACAGTAGCAACATGACAGTGATGAAGTAGCCACGAAAATAATTTTATGGTTGGGTCACAGCATGAGGAACTGTATTTAAAGGGCCAGAAGGTTGAGAACCACTGCCTGAGAGTTAGGCCTCAGGGGCACTGCAGCCCCTGGTGTCACCCTCTTGGAGCAGGGCCATGGAGACCATGACGCCATGGAGAGCCCAGTCTAGCCCACTGGAGGGTAAGAGACCACACAGCGCGGGCCTGGGGGGCCTTGCTGACAACCAGCATCAGCTGCCAGTCAGTGAGAGAGGCCATCCTGGGCCCCCAGGCCCAGCTGGGTGGTCAGATGACGGCAATCCTGGGAGTGATGCAGGCAAGACCAGCAGATGAACCTTCCGGCTTATCCCAGCCCAGCTGCTGACCCAGCATCCTGGTTGGTACTTAAACCAGTAACTTTTCAGTTTAATACATAGCAATAGATAACTTAAACAATATAGAAGGACCCACGTTCAGCCCTGGCCAGTGTCTCAGTGGTTAGAGTGTCGATCCGTGCACTGGAAGGGTCTCGGGTTCGATTCCCAGTCAAAGGCATGTACCTGGGTTGCACGTTCAGCCAGGGGCTCTGGTCAGGCACCTGTAGGAGGCAACCAATCAATGTGTCTCTCTCACATGATGTTTCTCTCTCCCCGCCCAGCCCCCTCCCACTCTCTCTAAAAATCAATGGGAAAAATATTCTTGGATGAGGATTAACAAAAATAAAAAAAATAATAAAAGGACCCAAGTTCATAAACAGCATTAAGAGAACTGATTTACCGTATTTATAAGTTTAATCTATTAGGGGATAAGAATTGTTTAACTGGTTAGAAAAATTCAGGCTTAGCTTGGGAGGGCACCCTCAGTCCTCCACCCATTCTCTATTTGTAAAGGAAAAAAAGAACAAAAAAGAAAAAAATGTTTGTTAGATGTGTCTCTTCTGTTAAGATTTAAAAATATATATTTTTTATTGATTTCAGAGAGGAAGGGAGAGGAAGAGAGAGATACAAACATCAATGATAAGAGAGAATCACTGAGTGGCTGCCTCCTGCACGCTCCCTACTGGGGATCAAGCCCACAACCTAGGCATGTGCCCTTGGCCAGAATCGAACCCGAGACCCTTCAGTCCGCAGGGCGATGATGCTCTATCCACTGAGCCAAACCGGCTAGGGCTTTTCTGTTAAGATTTTGAGGTGCTTGAGAGGAATAGCTATTTCAACTCTGTACAATGTAGTTTAAATCTATTAGGGAATTTAATTACCTAAGTTTATAATTGGCATTCATTTTTAGAATTTAATCTATTGAACCTGTGAGTTAATTAAATATTTATCAAAGAATAAATGGAAGTAGTTGTTCTTATTTTTATACAAACATTAGTAGATTTATAAATAGAAGACTAGATTTGCAAGTTGTATTTGCATGTGTAAGAAAAACTAGTTCTTTTCTTAATTTATAAGTTTAATAAACAGTAGTAATTTTAACAGGAGCAACAGTAAGTAGCTTTTTCTCTGCACAAAAGCCCCTCCTCTCCAATATTAAAATTCCTCAACTGCCAATGCCTGGTGCTACATTCCCACTGGAAAATTTGGCGTTCCACACACTTCCATGCCTGTGTTTCTGTGGGTCCCTTGGCCTGAAATAACCTTCCTTCCACACAGGTGGTTCTCAACCTTCCTAATGCCTTGACCCTTTAATACAGTTCCTCATGTTGTGGTGACCCCCAACCATAAAATTATTTTCGTTGCTACTTCATAACTGCAATTTTGCTACTGTTATGAATCGTCATGTAAATATCTGATATGCAGGATGTCTTTTCATTGTTACAAATTAGCCCTGACCAGTTTGGCTAAGTGGATAGAGTGTCGGCCTGCGGACTGAAGGGTCCCAGGTTCGATGCCGGTCAAGGGCATGTACCTTGGTTGTGGGCACATCCCCAGTAGGGAGTGTGCAGGAAGCAGCTGAATCGATGTTTCTCTCTATTCCTCTCCTTCTCCCTTCCTCTCTGTAAAAAAATCAATAAAATATATTTAAAAACAAAACAAAAAAAACACACAAATTGAACATAATTAAAGCATAGTGATTAATCACAAAAACAGTATGTAATTATATATGTGTTTTCTGATGGTCTTAGGCGACCCTGTGAAAGGGTCGTTTGACCCCCAAAGGGTCACGACCCACAGGTTGAGAACCGCTGCTCCACACACACCTTTGGTACCCGGCAAAATTTTACCTTTTCCATAAGGTCCAGCTGAAACTCTGAGGCGAGGTCCAGGGGGAATCATGCTTCCATCCACATCAACGCAGGTGTGTGGCCAGGCCTCTCAACTGAAATCACAAACCAAGTCCTGATCCATGGCTTGCTTTTTAATTTCATTTAATTTGCTGTTGTTGTTAATCTTCACCCGAGGATATTTTTTTCACTGATTTTTTAGAGAGTGGAAGAGAGAGGAGAGACACACAGAGAGAAACATCGATGTGCGAGAGATATGTATTAATTGGTTGCCTCTGCACGTGCTCTGGGACCAGGGCCGAAGAAGGAGCCTGCAACCGATGTATGTGCCCTTCACTGGAATCGAACCCGGGACCCTTCAGTCCTCAGGCCAATCCTCTATCCACTGAGCCAAACTGGCTAGGGCTATTTGATTTAATTTTTAAAATTGATTTTAGAGAGAGAGGAGAAGGGAGAGAGACATTGATTTGTTGTTCCACTTATTCATTGGTTGATTCTTGATGTGCCCTGGGCAGAGTTCAAACCCATCACCGTGGCATATCGGGATGACTGCAAAGAGAAGGGAAGGCTGCAGGTGGAACTCGGCAGGCTTTCGATAGGAAGATTGTCGTGGGTTATCCCGGTGGGCCCCAGGTAATCACACACGTCCTGGAAAATGAACCAGGTAAGCAAAAGTGAGACAGAGGGAAAGGCCGCCCTGGGAGAATGGCCAGAGGCGCACCGCCGCCAGACAGGCCGAGGAATGTGGGTGGTCTCTGGAAGCTGGGAAAGGCAACTTCCCAGGAAGGAACACAGCCCTGCTGACTGCCACCTTGATGTCAGCCCAGGGAGACCCATGTCAGGCTTCTATCCTACAGAGTTTTAAGATCACGTTGCGTTGTTTAAGCTACTCAATGTGCAAAAATTAGTTACGGCAGCAACAGAAAACTAATACGCAGGGTCACCCACATCATTTACCGAATCAGTGACATCTGTGCAACGCTTTCCAGACCACAGATGAGAACCAAAAACCCTGGACGGAAGCCCGGGCTCAACCCTCGCAAGCTGTGCTGAGCTGGGGCCGGTCTTGGCTGCCTGTCGGTGCCGTGGGGCAGAGCTGCCTCCCGGGCGGTGGGAGCACATGGTGGGTCAGTGCAGGTGGAGCGAATGGTCAGCGAGCTAGTGCCCTTACACGGCTGCTGTACCGGGTGCAGGTGGCAAGGCCCTCCTTGCACTGCTAAGTTCTTAGGGAAGTGGCCAGTGGAGAGGTGACCTTGGGCACGGAGGCCGGAGTACCACATGCTGAACTCATCTCACTGGCCTTTCTGGGGGAGGGCACAGGCCTTGCTGGTGGTCCTGGAATGTTGCAGGCCCTTGGACCTTCCTTCCTGGCCCCTGACTTAAAAAAAAAAAAAATTAATTTAAATCCTCACCTGAGGATATTTTTCCACTGATTTTTAGAGAGAGTGGAAGAGCGAGGGACAGAGAGAAATATTGATGTGAGAGAAACACATCGATTGGTTGCCTCCTGCATGCACCCTGATGGGAATCAAACCGGGACTCTTCCGTCCGCAGGCTGACTCTCTGTCCACTGGGCCACGCAGGCCCCTGACTTTTGATCTCCCCTCTCTGCCCTCACTCCCAAGGCTAATCATGCCCTCCTCCGGCTGGCATGTGTGCCCCTGACCCAGCCCTGTCCAGGGTCATTGCCACACTCAGCGCAGGAGGCCTACGCATCGGGCAGGTCTGCAACTAGCCCGACCTGAACGCTGTGTTTATGTTACACCTCCGGAAGTTGCATGGGGGCCAGTGTACCCTAGGGGGGCAAAGCTGGAACTGGTTGTAAAAATATTCATGATTATATTTACCAAATAGTATTAGTATAGAAAGACATAAAAGTATGTTAAAAATCCATCTTTATAGTCTTTGTAAAATACTCGGAAAAATATATATTTAAAAAATCACCCCAATTCTTCCCCGGAAAACTTCCCTTGGCCCTCAAGTTTCCGACCTTCAAATCCTACTCTGTGCCCCTGCCTCCCGGGCTGCTCTAGATTCCGTCCCGGCCGCTCATCTGCCCGCCCCGGGGCGGAGAGGAGGCGGCACGTCTGCACGGGGAAAGTCGCCGAACCGGAACCGGTACCTGTTCGCGTCACTTGTCACCTCCCCAAGGGCAGCCCGACCGGGCCTCCCGAAGACTGGGTGCGGGATAGGGTGCGGGCGGGACCGAGGTGACCCGCGGGGAGACCAGCCGGGGCCCTTGGCAGCAAAACGTTCCGCATGGCGGGGCCATGCCCAGTTCTCGGAGTTCGGGCAGAGTT